TTTATTTCATCTCCGAATAAAAGTTATGTGGCATGATAAATTCATCTGATTTTAGGCTGGTTGCATGATTGAGAGCCCCATCGTTGAAACTTGTTCAAATTGCATTCAAACAAACTAAAGAAGTCGCTTTGAGCTCTCACTTGATGCTACTATAATAAGCGAGTGAGAGATCTCGCAGCTATTCTGTTACTGCAGAATTAGTCCGTCGTCTTGGAGTTTACCGGGTTATAGTGTTTCACTGATTCGTCGACAGAATGTTAAGTCGGCCGGGATATGGTACATTTTGCTGCACTGTTAAATCGGAAAATTTAGTAAAAAAGATATCTTTGTTAGCATAGGTTGAAAGGGAGCTGGGCAATGGGCACTGGGAACTGGGCACTGGGCACTACGCACTGGGAACTGGGCACTGGGAACTGGGAACTGGGAACTGGGCACTGGGAACTGGGAACTGGGAACTGGGCACTGGGAACTGGGCACTGGGAACTGGGCACTGGGAACTGGAAACTGGGAACTGGGCACTGGGCACTGGGCACTGGGAACTGGGAACTGGGCACTGGGAACTGGGAACTGGGAACTGGGAACTGGGAACTGGGAACTGGGAACTGGGCACTGGGAACTGGGAACTGGGCAGAAAGGGTGGAGTTCTTGAACCTCACAAGGGCTTGCTAAACTCGATTTTAATCAACTTACAGTCCATTATGTGTCCATAGACCTCTACTTCCGCAAAATTGAGATAGACCTCTAGATAAGCGTCTTCACGTCCTCTTATTGTAATTTCCGATCCCGCCACATTCAGATCAGGATAAGAGTAAGGATTTTTGTCAAGCTCGTATTCTATGTTCAGTGAACATGGACGACAATCAGTGTACAAGGAACGGAACATCGAATTTAAAAGAATGTATCTTATACAACCATTTTACGTATTTATGTTCGAATAAATGTGTATTGTGTACTATACATAATACAAGATTATACATAAACTTGGAGATTGATTTGAAAGCACTTACATTTGCATTCATTTGGAACTGCATCTGCTAAAATACTCCTTTGAAGTTGAAGCAAAATAGTTGCTATAAACATAGCTATAGCTTCCTTTGCTGAAGGGAACTAAATAAATAAATCATTAATAACTAACATTACGAGAAAGGATTTATTTTCAAAGTGAAATAATTTTGAATCGTTTGAAAGTATGAATTTTAAGACTAAATTTACTAGTTCTATTCCTAGATAATGATGGTGATATATTCATACTTTGAAATTAACAACTGTAGTTTAAAATTATATTTCATAAGGCTGTATTAATGTATTATGCACGATTGCCATGACGTCATCTTAGCAACCCAACCATGACATCATCTTAGCAACCCGACCACATATAATAGTATTATTGTGCAACCTATCTGGACTAGGGATGTCACCTGAAAAACAAATTTTAGTTCTCGAGCCTTGCCATTAAAGTACTGGACATCTTAGCGGAGGACTACTCGGTAGAGGACAGTGCAACAGAATCACATGAAACAACTCTATAAACTCAGCACCCGAGCAACTGAACACAAAGGCAAAGATCGCTATTCTGTTAGCTTTAATGCAGAGGTACGAGGTTGCTCAATGCTCATTTCCTGAGTTCGTAGGGTAATGTCCGTAGGGTATTGTTCTGTGTTCTTAACGGTACCAAATTTCCTTCTAGCATTAGTGGCTTGCCGGCTAAGATTGTTATAATACGTTAGGAAGTAAGAGTACGAGTTTTACTCACATCACAACGTCCTATTTCTTGTAAGTACAGCTTATCATTCTCGCTACAAGTTATTGGCGGGTCTCTTTTTAAAGGGTGATCTGACCACTGACCAGTTACCAAATGGTGCCTAGTTTGTCCAGGACTAAAATAGATTTAAGACGTCTTTAGGCTCATGGTTTCACAGCCCGCATGAAATAACGAAAATGATTCTTTCACGTCTAATTTGATGCACTCAAAATTTATTAAATTTATAAGGCAGAAATACTTGAATTATTTGTCTGGCAACTGTACTTGTTATACCTCTACTTCAAATTTTTTTAAACCAGAAACAATCGAAGTCTTCATTCTTGAATTATTCGCAATTTTTTTATTATCATGTGAGCCAAATTGAGTTTATCTCTAAGGATAAAACAAAATCACAACTTAAATAGAATAAATGAAGGAGGTTAAATACTAAATAGTTGATTAGATAAATTATCAGCAGACGTCGCATTGGTTTTTATCTATTTAAATCATAGTTCATAGTTGGGGGAATTGTTAAATATATACGCCGCGCACTGAGGAATTTAACACAATTCTGCCTCACGCAAATTATGCAGGAGCAACCCTTCTTTCTTGTCGTCATGGCAAAGTGTGACACGCTGATGGAAGGACGGACAACATATTATCCAGAGTCCAGACCAAACCACCCCGATCTCCAAAATCCCTCTTTTTCTGCACCAACAACGGATACTCTGTTTTGTGATGAATAAGTTATATGGCAACAAAAGCCACCACAATTTTACGCACTAAATTTCATAATGCATCGATTGAATTACCACAAAACTCCTGAAACTTTAAGATATCTATGTTGGCATAGGTTGGAAGGGAAGGGAAGGGGGGGGTTCTTGAAATTTTGTACTCTGTCTTAATGGGGCAGAATAAAGTAAATTTATTGAAGGGGCACGTAATTTATTGCTTACTAAACTTGACTTTAATCAACTTACAGTTCACTATTATGTGTCCATAGACCTCTACTTCCGCAATATTAAGCTCATGTTCTGGATGATTTTGTTCACGTACACGTCCTCTTATCGTAATTTCCAATCCTGCCACATTCAGACCAGGATAAGAGTAAAGATTTTTGTTACGCTCGTATTCTATCGTGATGACCAAAACGTCTCCGACATAAACTCTGACTCCGTCTAATCTAACGGAGCAGCAGTCTTGCCGATTGTAGATGTCGATTGTGTTGATAAAGGAGTATTTTTGAAGTTTCACTTTCCACCACGCATCTGGACCCTTCGAGGCTGTATGAACAATCTCATTGCTGAGGAGTAAGGAGTGACGGTATATTAATTGTCAATTTGTCCATACAGACACAAATGACATTCCTAAATACTCTTTAAAATTAAAATTTCATTTGCTTATTAAAGTTTTGTAAACCCTCACCTGTTGCTTCTAAGATGCGTCCCACTCCCATTCCTGTTTCCATCTATTGCTAAACTCGCGGGGGAATAGGTAGAAACGTAATCTATTTGAGAAGCTATCCCATCTCGTGCAATGTTTTTACAAGGTCTCCCTGAAAATGGACGAAAATCCGTTTAAACTCTGCAGTACAAAAAAGCAGCGCGTCGTTGCAAAGTTAAGCAAAAAATATTAATTTTGTGACGTGTCCATATTTGAATAGATGTGTAGTAGAATCATATATTGATTTGAAAGAACTTACAGGTGCATTTATTCGGAATCGCTTCTGCTATTAGACTTCGTTGCAATTGAAGCAGAACAATCGCTATTAACATATTTTCTTCTGCTGAAGTGCGTTAAGATTTATTTTCGTGCGTATAAGTATGTTTTACTTAAAATATATGGAACTATGGTTAAGTAAATAAACAAAACACCAAGAGGGCGATAAATTCGATTTCGAGAAAATTTCCACGAAGATCCCCCGCTCGGCTCTTAAGCAGTTATTACCCTTATTCTTAACAGTTAACAATAACGAGTCGAAGTTAATATAGCCGATTATAATGTAATTAAAAAATCACAACACTGCTCCAATCATCTTTGCACGTGCACTCACTAAACGTGCGCGTTACTAATGCTTTAATCACAATGAAATAATCACAACACTGCTGCAATCATCTTTGCACGTGCACTCACTAAACGTGCGCGTTACTAATGCTTTAATCACAATGAAATAATCACAACACTGCTGCAATCATCTTTGCACGTGCACTCACTAAACGTGCGCGTTACTAATACTTTAATCACAACAAAGCAGATCATCATACTGCTCCAATCATCTATGAAATAAGATACAAGTTTGGGAAAAAGTTACAGGTACAAGTTACAGAATGCAAGTCACATTCACATTTCACATCCTTCAATTAACTTTTTAAACTTATATCCCACAGAATAACACTTCACTGAATTGATTTCTTTATCTAGTTAGGAGCTGAAGTTAGGGACCCGGACAGAGTGTTCACAAAACCTCGCACGTTTTCTCCCTCTTCCCTGGCCCCCCTTTCTTGACTCACTCATCTGGATTAGATACTTAGCATGCTAATTCTAGCGAAGCTTCCAGTCTCCAAAACCTTATGGCTTGAATAAAAACTATAGAGCAATGAGCAAGCAGTTAGAGTAATCTTATGGCTTGAATTTACCTGGGGACCTCAGGCTATTATATTTATGTTCATAATCATAATCGAATAGAGATTTGGCGGAATGACAGGCTGAGCGCGGCCCAGTGAGGCTTGAATAAAAACTATAGAGTAATGAGCAAGCAGTTAGATTGGAGCAAAGCATTTATGAGGATGCGCCATACTCTCATGCGACTGTGTGATGGTCTAGCCAGGAACATTTATGACCAGCAATACTACAAATGGTTGATGCCCCTCCCCTCGCTCACTCCCAATGAATAAACAAACACGAGCACCCAGAAATGAAGGAATGGAGCTCGCTCTCAAATGTGATGGTAATATATATATAGTCACTCTTATGAACTGACTCCGGCCCGGTCCTGTGACCCCCAACTGTTTTCATTGTTCTCCAAAAGTGTTAACAATGGAGCATGAGATACTCTAGAAAGTCCTAGTGCTGTAAATCAGTTAATTGAGACTCGATAAGTTGAGAGTTATTAAAGCTTCTATCGTCAGTCTTTCTAATTCTTCTCCAAATTCTTCTCTTTTAGGAATAAATTTAGCATTGAGAAAAGTTTTAAATTTTGTATATTTTAGATTTTGTTATCTCCCTGGAATACACTGATTAACACAGATAACTATTTCAGGTTGGCTTCCGCCCAGAGTTATACGATGTAGCGGTCGGTGGCTTCTTCTTCCTCAGTGGCATCATCTTCTTTAGACTGGATGGTACCCTGCCCTTTGCTCATGCCATCTGGCACATCTTCGTATTTTTGGGGACCTACTACCACAGTACCGCTCTGGTAGAGTTGCTCATCAGAAATAGTAAAGAATTCCTCCATCCTCACGGAGTTTAACTCTTGTTAAGCTGTAGGTTGAATTTGTAGAAATCGCAATTTGATGTGGAGACTTTAGTTTGATTAGTATGGACTTATTATTATATAATTGAATAATAATGTATTAATTTACTAAGTTAGTGAAAAAATTAAGGTTTACAATTACATTGCTTTAGGCTATGTTTTTTCCAGTCCAAAAACTTTAGGGGAGCTTACAAGTTACCTGGTTAAGCAACTGAAAGCGAAACTGAAAGTGAAACAATATATAATATTGAGATGGAACTGGTGATGTTATATTTCTTTTATATTTGAACTGCCTTTTTATTTAAGTTTGGTGCTAGACCACAACACACCCGAATACTCAATAGTTATTATTATCACAATTCTGGCCGGAAAGGAAAACCTGTATGGATAAAATTTTTGAAAGTTGTCAGATGGATTAAGTTAGTCCTGTGATGTATCGGACAATAATTTTTGTATGTATTGCGTTTTACCCGGGTTGTGGTTGCTGCAATCTTTATATAATTTATAATAAGAGAGTTAAAATTATTTTCATGATTGTAAATTTTCCCTCGACCGTTGATCTGTTTGTTGTATAGTAGTTGTTGAAAGCTGAAGCTTTGAATAGCTCGATAAATGTGTTTTATGTGTAACACAATGATAAAATAGTTTTATATATGGGTTCTTAAATTTCAAGAAAATATCAAGATGTACCATGGATAACTTCCCAACTTTTAAATGCCCTTAATATGTTAATAAAATGTGGTTGATATTTGCTGAGCATCCGATTGTTGCGATGACAAATGTTCCATGGCCATGCCATGTGTAGAATTTAGTTTTTCTTAAATCTGTTGAAAGATCTGTATTAGCTGCTTCTTCTTTTGCTATCTATCTTTAATTTTACTGTTTCATTTTCCTCCCAAAATCTCATAAAGTCAATATGGAGAACTGGATCTGATTTTGGCTCATGGTACCCCGGAAATTTGTACTTATCCTGGAAATTTAGAAGCAAGGTGATCGTTATGAATATTGAAGATTCGAGGGACTTTTGGTGATGAAAAATGATCATCACCCCTCATCAGGCCTCAATTTTTATTCCTATTGCAGAATAAAGCTAACCTTCACTGTTTGTCAAATTGATAAACAAGGATTATTATATCAGCAAAATCATCGATTGAGGCTTTTACCCCTACAAGATTAAAAGTGGAACATCCTGTCGCACGGTGGAGAAATAGATTTAAACCCAAACTAGCACCTTTTTTTTGGCCCAATCATTTTTACATATCTATTGATTTGACAAATTAAAACTACTGGGATAATGTTTTAAAACAAAATTACTTTCCAATTCTTAACATAACCCATCATACAATTGCGGTGGAAAATGAAAGAAAAAAGCCAACTGAAAATATTAAATACATTCATTCAGAAATGAAATCTTATATTCCATCTTGCTACTGTCCAGATTTTCTAGCCGTAGTTGCAACTGTAAGCAATACAGTTTACTTTACACACAAACGTAGTACGTACCCAGTAAACCTTACGTTAGATTTTCCTTTTTTGACTCATTCAGCATGCACTTTGCCAGCATTTTGCCAGACTTGTAAGAGATTTCTTTACAATCTTTGTCTTCTCGACACTTATTCATGGCAACATTGGAAAGTCCTCCTCGGCTAGTGCATAGGAAGTGTCTGCAATTATCCAGTTTCCATGTTCACTCTTCTTCGTCGATATCTTCCGTACCTGCCTCCTCGTCAGTGACAGCTAGATACAGATCATTCCCAGTGTAGTCCCAGACCTGCGGGTAGATTGTGTTCGTATCCAGTCTGCAGACTCCGTCCCACGATGTGAACATCTTGCTCCAGAGAACTTTATTCGTGTTAGCGTCTATCAACTTCACACATTTGGTAGTTTTCTCAACTTTAAGTACCTTCACCCCGTCTCTACACTTCAGAGCATCACATTTGAGGTTGAAGTCAGTTTTTTCACCACCCCACCATCTTTTTGCGCCAGCTCCTTTGCAGAAGAGATTTCCGGTGAGGTCACTGTTGGAGGAACGTTTCTTGTACATCTCTACGTGCCCCAGAATAGCCCCAGATCTAGTCCTCAAATAGAGCTTATACTTGACACTTTGGTTACAGGGATATTTGACGTAAAACTCGGCAGGGTCATTTTTATAAACGGGCAAGGACACTCTTTTACTTTGGTTGATCTGTGTCCATGTGAGAGCACTGGTATCCTCGACACTGTTCCTCCGGACAAGCTTCTCAGTTGTGAGCCGATACGACTGAGAGACTCCAATCATCAGCATCAACACTATCATCAGTTTCATCTCAGCAATGGAGGTGGAAATATAAATTCACAGTTAGCACGCTCAGTACAGGTCTATACGTTCAGACAGGCTAGGTCAGGGATCCGTCAACAAAATAAAAACGATGGCACGATAGTATTAGTTATAAAATGCCTCGTCTTTCATCCCTTATATATTTACAATTCTAACAATAGTATCATTGTTAATTTGGATTGGGTTTCATCGTCTACTCTTGTGTGAATTGTTTGATGAACTGGTTAGTATCTGGTTAATTGGATTCATTGTATTATAGCACAACTAAAAGTGGAGGGAACAACAATATAAACCCTTAAATATACTTAAATATAAATCAGTTAACTGTTCTAAATGAGCAAAATTGTTAAGTGGGTTTTGATAAAGATATCATGATATGATTAATAAAGATATTAACGTACCAAGGTGACGTGTAATTGAAGGATAACGATGTGGATATCAGGTCCGTTGGCGTTTTTCCACAAGCAGCGCCAGGATGCGAAGTACCACGGAAATTTGTTCAAAACTTGGAAATCTAGATTCTAGAAGCAAGGTGAAGGAGATCGTTATGAATATTGAAGATTAAGTGGTTCATCACCACTCTTCTGCACTGGCTCTTTATTCCTTCTGCAGAAAAGTCAACCTTGACTGTTTGTCAGCGGCTTTTAGTTTTACTTACTGGCTCAGTCTGGGGTCCCCAGGTAAGCTTTTGCATAAAAGTGGGATTCAACATCCTGTCTGTCGTCCAATGGAGAAATATATTTCAAACCAAACTAGCACTTTTTGTTCCCAATTATTGTTTACAATACTATTGATTTGACAAATTAAAAATACTCAGATGATTTTTTTTAATGCAATAATTTCCCAATTCTTAACACAACCAACCCAAATTAATTTAATTAGGGGTCGTTCAAATCAATGAAATTAACATATTCATGTTAATTTCATTGATTTTAAGGCAGCGTTTGATTCCATCAGAATAGAGTTTATCTGGTCAAGCATGAGACACTTTATGTTAGAATCTTCCAGGCATTTTTCAACGGAACCATGAGTGCTGTCAGGGTTAATGGTAAAATGTCTGATTGGTTCTCTGTCAATTCAGGCACTGGACAGGGCCCTCCTGTATTTAATTTTTGTCTGAACTTTGGTATCTTTTTGGCTGAGGTTCACAAGGCAATCAGTCATGGTGCTGTACTGCAAAAGGAACTGAAGGGGGCAGATGAAAAAGTTATCATGGATAGTGACTACGCTGATGATCTGGCAGTGATGGACAATACTGAAGAAGGGCTGCAGGAGTCCACTGATCTTATCGCTTATTACACCTCTTATGCTGGGTTAAAGATCAACGCTAAAAAGACACAATGCATGGCGATCAGCAAGTGTGCATCCCAGCGACCTTACACCGAAAGAGACAGTATAAAGCTAACAGTGGAGGGAGAACCTGTTGAACAGGTCACTAACTTTGTTTATCTTGATGCCAACGTCAGTGGGGATGGTACCATTGACCGAGATCTTGACATCAGGATTCAGCGTGCTAATGGTGCGTTCCATCAGCTTTGGAAGATATGGAACAGTAGAACTAGAGAAGTTCTCAGAACTGAAGAAGTTCTCAGGCGTGCTGGAATTAAGTCTATTGAAGCTTTCATCGGTTCGGTTAGACTAAGGTGGTACGGACACGTTGTCAGAATGCCAGAGACACGATTTCCCAATTTTCTACTGGATTGGAAACCAAACTATGGAAAGAGACTGAGAGGACGACCCCGCAAAGGCTGGATGGCCTGTGTACTTGAGGATGCGGCTGACTTTACAGGTGTCGATAACATCAGCAGAGATGCAGTAAAACAATTAGCTCTAGCTCTAAAACGAGTGGAATGGAGGCACATGATACACCGTAGAAGAGATGTGTGTGATGCAGGCCACTCCAACGACTAGGAGGAGACCTCTAGCCTCTTTATGTAGCATGTATGTCACATATTACGTAATCAGCCGAGGGGGGTTTTCCAAATGCTTACGGTTGATTACGGAATAATAACAATTTGACAATATTTTAATTCAAATTCCACTCAATTTCACTCTGATAGTGATAAAATTTAGAAATTGATCGAATATCCGGCTATAAGTATAATAGTAAGAAGTTTAGAAAGTGTTTAGCCGGATATATTAATGATTTCGGCTCATCAGTCATCATGATAGCATGAAACGTAGAGAAAAGTGTTTTCTAGGGAAAAAAGTCGAGGGGGGGGGGGGGGGGGGGAGGGTCAGGCCGTGATTATGTAATATTGCTGTCAGGAGGGGGGGGGGGGGGGGGGTTGGGTCTTGATTAATGATTACGGTTGATTACGGAGGGGGGGGAGGGGGCAAAAATTGCTTAAATATTGATTACGTAATATGTGAACGACCCCTTATTAAATATTAAATAAATCCAGAAATGAAATGTTATATTCCATCTTGCAACTGTCCAGATTTCCTAGCCGTAGTTAATTTGTAAGCAATACAGCTTGCTTTACTCACAAGCGTACGCAGTAAACTTTACGTTAGATTTTCCTTTTATTGACTGATTCAGCTGGCACTTTTTCTGCATGCTTCCTTTGCAAGAGATTCCGCTGCACTCCTTGATTCCTTCACATAACGTCATGGTCTCAGATTTCGTGTACTTTAACAAAGTCAGGCCCTTCTTAAACTTCCTGTCCTCTACTTCCCTCCACGTACAAGTTTTTTTCTCTTCCTTGTCGTCATCATCGTCATCGTCATCATCGTCGTCGTTTTCGTCATCACCTCCAGCTAGAAAAATGTATATTACAAGGATAACCTAAGGTTTCACCTAGCAGTAAACAGAAAGGATTTCCGAATATCATTCCCATAGAAGAATAGCACCAGCTATATTAAGTATTATAAATTATGTAAATATGTATTATTACTTTATTACGTAATCAATTTTTGGACAATTTGTAACCCCCTCCCCCCTCCTTAAAGTTAATCAGTCTTACACATAGCTATCGTGTAAAAATTACACTAGCGTAATCATTTGGAAACCCCCTCCCCCTCGGCTGATTACGTAATATGTTAACGACCCCATATTGGTTAACGAAGGCACTGACCCATCAGAATAGGATAGTGAGCGTAGCTAGCAATAGCACATGTGTTAGTACCTCTCCTAATCTTTATATAACCCTTGTCTCCCCAGGATGAACCCCAACTGAAAGTGGTGGAGGTTGTCATAATGTCATCGCCTCGAAATCTCGATCAAATCATAATGTCAGTTATAGTACTATGCAATGACGAACTTGATGAAGCTTAGGCAGCGCCTAAGCAACAGACACTGTAGCGGAAAATAGAATATCTGCAGTAAGTATCTGCCTACCTGTAAAGCTGTAACCTAGCGAACGCGAACCTAGTGGACATCATTGCTGTATGATGAACAAGAAAATAGTTATGGATAGTACTGTACTGTGTACACTGTAGAATCACGATTCAGTGACACAGCTGAAATTGAGAAACAGTTTATATTTTCCTTAACTGTTTCGCAACTATTGTATTAAAACGTGATATTAAAGCTTATGCACTACTTTTAAAACGTGATATTAAAGCTTATGCACTACTTTATTGGACTTAATTTGGTCGGAAATCGCGCGAATGGTAAAAGTGTCAGCGCCCATAATAATATCCACTCACGCAATAATAATATCCATCCAAATAAGGCCAAGGTGCTATAATATATGTGATCATGGCGAGTAAGAATTATCCACTATATTCAGTGCCTTACTCCCCTTACTTACAAGCAAATTTATTTATATCCTACATGAAAGCATAAAGCTGATAAGCATGTTATGTGTGACATAATAACTTCAGCACACCTGATGTACACGATATAAGCACTGCTTCAAAGTTTGTAAATTTCGCAGTGGAACTGCACGCCAAGTGCACGTGACCTGTACATTCTCCTGCACGTCATCTCGTCTTATCAGATCTTTCTGAAATCGCTTGTATGTTACGTTGACGCGAATTTGTCCATATTTTAGTGTAAACCTTCTAATTGTAGTTAAGCTAATTGGTTAATTAAAATATGACTATCATGGATGAGAGTAGTGACATGTTGTCAAGGTGGGTGTTGGATCCTTTCACAATCTTTCTGTTTGCTAGAACTTCCGATGATCCACTATCCAGGAGTTCAAACGCTAGGTTAATATAATTTTGTTTGCTAGTCCATTCACAAATCACGCGTTTTCTCCCCAAAGGTTTTATCAAAGTTTGTTGATCACGCAAAGGAAGAACGAAGAGCTGATTTGTACGTTGGAAGATAGTGTGCTACAATTGGAGAGATTGGAGTCTATGTCCGAGGATGATCCTCTGAATGAAGTCATAGCAAATCTCAGGTAGCTGCTAGGATCCTTTTATCCCTTTCTTTACCTGCTCGTATAACCACTTCAGCTATTATTCACCAATTACCTATTATTTGTCCCCTCCTGATCTAAACAGACAACATGCAAAATAGCCAACTCTAAACCTTGAATTTTGTCGATTTCTTTTACCTCTGTGTTCGCCTCAGGGTGGTTACTTTGGAAACAATCCGTCCTAACCAGAATAGCTCACGGGAACTGGACGGTTTTATGAAGCTGTTGGAGGCGAGGCTTTGTGAGATCAAGGCTCAGGAGAAACACAACGAGAAACAGGTAATAGTAGCTGCAGGTTCCACATGGCATGATGGGCGGTTATTTTACATTATTGTAGCTGTTATTGTTAACGGTTAGGTCAATAAATATTAGGTCAATTTGTTATTATCATCGCCTCCGTAGCTCAGTGGTTAGAGCACTGGTCTTGTAAACCAGGGGTCATGAGTTCGATTCTCATCGGAGGCTAATCCATAGCCTTTGTCGCCTTTGGAATGATCTTTTACGAAACTATGCTCTTTCAGATTTTAACAATTGAAAAAGAGAGACGAGATGTGAAATCCCAAAGGTCGGCTCTTGATGAGCAGAAGAGGTTGCTTGCTAATGATAAGGAGAAGCTGGAGCAGAAAATTGACCAGGTGCACCACATAGTTACATCATCAATCATCATATACTATATAGAATTACCATTGAGTTGCTACATTCAATTTCATTTAATCTATTTGTACTTTTGTAACATTCTCATCAAATTTAATAGATTAACAGTGTTGTATGAGTTTAAAAATAAAATATAGAATTTAATGATCGTGTGTGTGAGATTACAGAACGAGATCGTGCACGCCAAAGTGGTGTTGTAACATTTACAGATAGCTTTTTCACACAGGAAAGAAGCGAGTTATTAGCTCGAGCAGAAAAGTTGGCGGCAATGGCAAAGATAATCGAGCATGAACCTGAATCACTGGAGGTGTCCGTTATCAAGGTCGGGATTATGTATTTATATAACGTCGTGTTCATGAACTTCATTTCATAATTTTCACCTAATCTAAATCAACTCATAATCATACTCGAAAATTAATTTTCTTTTGTATATATAGGGGATGCCAGAATTATTGACAGACTGATTGTAGTCTCACAAAGAAAACAAAGCATAAGTAAACTGTAAGTTTCCACGTAGGAGGCAGAGAAGGGTAAACTGAAGTCAGAGTTGTCGGTAATGAAGAAGACAGAGGAGATCAAGGGACTGGAGACGATGTGTGAACGTTATCAGGAGGAAATTAAGAAGGTTAGTTGAAGAGTTGGTAACTGGTTACTGTTCCTGTTGGTAACTGGTTACTGCTTACCTCTCACTGTTTACTTATAATAACCTGCCACTATACTGCAACAGTCGATGAACTCTGATCACAAGTTATATGATTATAGTTGATGGAATGGTAGCAGCTTATTCGAGTTTGACTTGTCGTTTTCCAGGTAAGGGATGATGCTAGAGAAGCGATAAAGATCAGTGAGAATCAAGCGATTGAGGGTAAGTAATAATAAAATAACGCCAACAAGCCTATCTCAGCGTTTACTTCCAGTTTTTCAACTAACAAAGAAATTATACAATCTGCAGCTTAATGACATTCTTACTTATGGATATTTGAAAATGATCATTTTTGTATTTTCACAGCTTGCAAGAGGTTGAAACAAATGAACACAGAGTTAGTGAAATCACAAGATACAGCCAGAAGAATGCAGCAAATTCTTGTGGCAGAAAAAGATCGAAACAAAGAATTGAAGGTAACAAAATTTAAGTGTAGCAGCGTAACTGTGATTTTCCGATAAATGGTTTTCAATTTTTAATTTCAATACTCTATTATTGTTGTTGTCACGATCATCGTTATCGGAGCTTTACGCTATGCAACGAGATAATTAAATTGAAGTGCAATCGTAAGAAGCAATCAAGAGTTTTAACATTTCGTAAATTTTAACCAAAAACGATTTCCTTACCAAATGTTTTAAAGCTTTGAATGCTCAATAGTTCAATTAGCCTATCTAATCACTATCATTGTTAATTGAGAAGAAATCAGCTTCATCAGGTTACCTTATCATCCCAATCAATCAAAATTCAGAAACGGCAATTTCACCCTAAACGCGAGTCTGTAGACAGCCCACCATCGGCTCGAATCTCCTGTCTTCCTAAACTTAATGAGTATGAATCATATCCTTTCTATATGCATGAGAAACATCGAGGGTTTCTCATAGACACGAAACAATGTGCTTTGGGAGTGGTTTGCTGTAATTTAGTAATTGTACAGTTAATACTTTAATAGGGTACACATGGAACGATGGGCGGCCAATATCCCTTATATTTTATTCAGTAAATTTATCATCATCATCGCCTCCGTAGCTCAGTGGTTAGAGCACTGGTCTTGTAAACCAGGGGTCATGAGTTCAATTCTCATCGGAGGCTGATTCAGTGACCTAGTCACCTTTTGGAGTGATTTGAAGATAATAATATGGTATAGGTGTCCATGGAATTGCAGCGTAGATTGTAGACCAGTGAATGGATTGTAAACCATTGAGCACTCAGCTGCAGCACTGGTCTAGTAAACCAAAGGTCATGAGTTTCATTATATCAACGAACGATAAAAATTAGAATAAATGCAATTGATTTTGCTGCCGCTGCAAGAAAAGATGAAAAGGTAATGCTATTTTCTTAAATTCTCGAGTTTTTGAGGGATATTAAACAAGATCCCACACTATGCACCCAAACCCATGCAACCTTGGCGAACCAAAGTAAAAGGGGTACTTCCGAGCAGTTCGGTAAATAATGGTTTCCGCATTGATCGACTTATACCTTGTTAGTACAGACAGATCCGTCTGAAAAAATCGATCTGCTGACACTCAAAGCTTTCAGAGGATTTTTGACGTTTTTGAGTCCCATTAGGTGCCCTTTATGGCTGACCAACTTTTCCGAACTTTTCCACTTGTCTTAAGGCCACTTTTTGCCACTTTACCACTTTTTACCACCTTTCTTGTTTGTCGAATATCTTTAGTTGTGAACATCGTAAAAGGTTGCGGATCAATCGAGTGTGTTCATATTATCAGGAAGAAAAACTTTTGTTGCAACAATTTTTACGTCAGATAATAAGTTAATTGGATAATTATCAATTAACTAATTAGCTAAATTCTAAAAAATTTTACATTTTTTAGAATTACATTTTTTTTCGAGACTTTAAAAATTTCGAAAATTAAAAATATTTTTTCCGCCAAAAGTGATCAAATCGCATGAAACACGGAGAAAAATGCCTTTCAAATAAACTTAGTTAATTTTTCGTTTCAAGAATACTTAAATCGCCAATATTTGTAGTTGGAGTTCAGTAAATCTCGGCAGATTTTAGTAATCAGGAATTATATTACTACGTGAAGAGGTCTGAAACTGAAAAACGTTAACCATACGATCGCGCGGCGACATAAGAGAGTTTCATAAACTAATTTTTACAGAAACTGCACCAATGGCACAGTCATGATCGAAACGATAGCCTGCTGTACTGTCATTTTATTGATTTCAATGATGAATCAGTGGGGTTAAGATAATCACATTTGTAATAAAATATAAATAAAACATATCTATACCGTCAATTGTGCTAGTCTAAACCAGCCTACCTGTATTACCAGGCCTCTTCTTTTCCTCGACAATCAAACCAAGTTGCTCATATCGCATTTGGTGGGTGATGTAAGTGGTAATGCGCTTAGTCAATAAAGACACCGTGTTTTTTATTAAAAGGAGTTAATGAAGCAAGTATTCATGACACAAAGAAGAATGGTCGGTGGGGATTGGGACCCACTTAAATCACCTTAACACAGTGCCCTCAGTAATCCATCCTGTTATTCAAATTATTTGTTATATAGTAGTGTTGAAAGTATTGAAACTAATACATATCGAGCTGTATTCAATCAGAATACGACACAATACGTGTATATTAAATATGGCTCTTAATGAGGTTTATGTTACGCTTTATACCGTGAGAAACCCGGTATAGAGACGTTTTAAAGTTTATCACGAAAACGTATACTTGGCCTCATTACATGGCTCATTTACAGTTCGAAGAAGGCAAGAACAGATCAAGGAAACTAAGGAACAGCCAGGTCCAGGAAGCAAGTGTAAATATACACCTTCCAACATCAACTGTGACTTGTTTTGTATTGTACTGCATACCGCTTCATTTGCTGTGCTGGATACCTCAAATCACCCCCATATTTCAGGGTCGGCTAAACGTAAAATCAGCAAGGGTAACATACTGGCAAGGGTAAGATGTAGATACGAGTGACGGGCAAGGGGTAGTAAAGAACCGGTAATAATTAATTCAGTGAAATATTCCACGAGAGTCAGGATATTTTGGAAATTGCTAATAGAGACAGATTCTGATCAGGAAGGATTGTTAATGTTATTGAGGGTGTTGATTTGAAATCCGGACGTCGTGAGGTAAAAATACAGGTTCTTCCCGTAGAATATTCGGGGCTATGATGATCAGCTCAGGATTAATGTGGGACAGATCGACGGGCATTGAAAAGAGCGAGTTGAAAGCTTTCTGGTCTTTTCTTGCCTTCTTTGAGCCATGAGGCCAAGTAGACGTTTTCGTGATAAACTGTAAAACCTCTCCATACTATTACTGGGCCTCTCACGGGAGAAACGAGAAGTGTACGATATAGAACGTTTCATATACCTCATTAAGGGCCATAATATAATATACACGTATTGCATTGTGTCGTTTTGTGATTGAATACAGCTCGATATGTATTACTACTTACATCACCCACCAAATGCAATATGAGCAACTTGGTTTGATTGTCGAGGAAAAGAAGAGGCCTGGTAATACAGGTAGGCTGGTTTAGACTAGCACAATTGACGGTATAGATATGTTTTATTTATATTTTATTACAAATGTGATTATCTTAACCCCACTGATTCATCATTGAAATCAATAAAATGACAGTACAGCAGGCTATCGTTTCGATCTTGACTGTGCCATTGGTGCAGTTTCTGTAAAAATTAGTTTATGAAACTCTCTTATGTCGCCGCGCGATCGTATGGTTAACGTTTTTCAGTTTCAGACCTCTTCACGTAGTAATATAATTCCTGATTACTAAAATCTGCCGAGATTTACTGAACTCCAACTACAAATATTGGCGATTTAAGTATTCTTGAAACGAAAAATTAACTAAGTTTTAGTCAAATAAATTATTTGAAAGGCATTTTTCTCCGTGTTTCATGCGATTTGATCACTTTTGGCGGAAAAAATATTTTTAATTTTCGAAATTTTTAAAGTCTCGAAAAAAAATGTAATTCTAAAAAATGTAAAATTTTTTAGAATTTAGCTAATTAGTTAATTGATAATTATCCAATTAACTTATTATCTGACGTAAAAATTGTTGCAACAAAAGTTTTTCTTCCTGATAATATGAACACACTCGATTGATCCGCAACCTTTTACGATGTTCACAACTAAAGATATTCGACAAACAAGAAAGGTGGTAAAAAGTGGTAAAGTGGCAAAAAGTGGCCTTAAGACAAGTGGAAAAGTTCGGAAAAGTTGGTCAGCCATAAAGGGCACCTAATGGGACTCAAAAACGTCAAAAATCCTCTGAAAGCTTTGAGTGTCAGCAGATCGATTTTTTCAGACGGATCTGTCTGTATTATGTCAAGGAAAATTGTTGACTCGGTGAATGGTCCTTTAGAGTTGAAACTATTATCGCTCCACGTGACACTGATTGACCGGTTATAGTCACATGATTCACCGCCAGCATTTGCACAAATCACATGATCCAACCAGATCGGCTTATCATGTGACAAATATTCGGGTGACCATAGGATCCAATCAAACGTGTAACTGGACTCTCATACCAGACAGCAGACTATTTTCAGACATCAGAAACGTCTGATTATGATAACGATAAACCATGGGTTAAAGTATATAAGGATGTTATATCTTGTTCATTGTTATCAATTGTTTACAGTCAGTTCATCTCTTCTTCCACAACCTATCAACTATTCAACAACCTTTAATAATTAAACATCTTGTCAACAATCTATAAGATGCACTCTTTCGTACAGTACGCCATCAAACTAGGATACACTGCTTGTGATGCTGAATTAGCTCTCTCTAGATTGGGACACGATGCTATCACCAACGACCTCCTTACCCTGGTAATCTCCTTAAAATCAGCAACATCCGCTCGGAGGAACGATCTACCGGGACAAGGAAAGCGTTTGCCAAAACCAAAACGATGTTTGGGATACAAACTGGAAAGTCTCTCCTATGTACCAGTTCCTGAAATGTGCTGATATAGAAGCATTCTTAGGATTTTATGTGTCAGCAGCATACACAAAATCTTTATCAAGGCTGTATGGTCGGATGGTCCTATTCAAGAAACATAACTGAAGTTTATGCTTAAACTAATGGTCATCCTGAACTTAACCCTTACCCAAACCTTTCCGCTCTACCTTGATCCTTCCTTGCATGGCACCGATCCTGAACTTAATCATGATCCCTGAACGGTGCTTGAATCCTTAACTGCAATGCTGAATTGAAACCTAGTGTATAAATTAATGGCTAACCATGATCCCCGGAACATAAAGTTGTTATTCATTAAAGACAAAAAACATCATGACCTTATCTAGTGTCTTGATCTTACGCATGGGAAAATTCTTGATTTTCAACATACATTATGTCACCTGAACATGTGATTTGGATTTGATATTATTGATAATTGTGTGTATGTAGTTATCTATTGTTAATATTTATACTTTTTACCACTCTCACAAAATACTTTGTATTCTTCGATACGGTAAAAACTAAAGAGCAATCATAAGATAAAAATGAATCCTAATTTTCTTCAGGCATCACTTGACCACGAGCGACTCCAGCCCATCAGCAAACACATGGCTTCGAGTCTGGCAGATGGTAGTGTTGAGGGAAACTTAGCCACTATTCCTGGACTGTCACGTGCCCTGATACAACGTGCAGCACGTGCTGGCAATATGCCAACTGCTATCAGGGTCGAGGAACTGCTCAAGAAAAACGAAGTGAGTTTAATAAAATGCTGTTAATTCTTAATGTAGATGTTGTAGCTATAAATGGCTACAGCTAACACTATTAAAGTATTAATGCTAAGTACCAAACAACAAGTGGGAGGTGGATCGTTGGTATACCATTAAATCGATTTAACACCGCAATTCCAGTCGCAATTAGCCTGGGACCACTACTAGCATAGTCACAACATCTACAAAGCTGCCATATAGCCTGACTGACAATTTTCTCGACTGACTGACAATGTTTCTTCTTTTCCCCATTTAGAATACAAAGATTAGTACATTTTAGCTTATAATTAATATTATATTTTTACCTATAGTTTACCTAGATTAAACAAGACTAGCCACTAGGAGTAGGACTTGTTAACAAGTTTTTTCCCTCGGAATAATGATTCATTCATAGATTGATCGTCATTTTTTTAGAGTCTGAGACTTGAAGTGGAAACAAGCAACAAAGCGTTAAGTGATCTCCAAAGAGAGCACACCAAAGTTAAAGAGAGTTGTAAAACAGCTTGTTCAAACCTTCACTACACCACGGTTAGTTGAAATCCCTCGAAAGTCACGCCAGGCATGGAGTACACATTTTCCAGCTTCCGATTGCAACAATTTCTAAAATATGAGACTCAAACATTTATTCTTGTACATGTAATCTACTAATCTAATCTACTAATCTAATCTACTAATCTAATCTACTAATCTAATCTACTATTGTAGATGCAAGTGACGACCCTAAAGCAGAGCCGGGAGAATGCGTTACAAAAGCTGAAGAAAGCTCAACAGAACTACGACGCTCTGAACAGATCCCTGACGAAACAAGCTGCAGGCTGGGTGCAAGAGAGGCTAGATGATCGTACAGTGGACAGAACGAGGAAGATGCAACGCCTCTTCCCCAATCTCAATACCGTTGCATAGTTAATCAAAGTTTACCTGTGGCGTTATAAACTTGAACTCATGAATTATTCTCTAGTGGTTCGATGAAGTTTTATTTGAACGCTAACAGCATTGAGACGAAATCAGATCGAACATCTATAGCCTGTTTTTTTATTTTATGCCTTTCCGAGATCTTATAAATTCATTACGATTCGTAGTCTAATGAAAAATACAGTAATTTGTTATTCGTTATATAAGCAGTGTTCTGCCGTTTTCTCAGAAAAGGCAGTAAGTCCAATTTTTCGAAATATGGCAATATTGGTATCAAAATTTTCAGTAGAAAATTCTCTACAACATGAGCTACATATTAATGTATAGAAACGTTGTTGCATGCAATTCCTAAGGAAGTAAGTCCAAGTTGAGAAACATTATGTTCGGTTTTGGCCAATTATTTTCTGAGAGAAGGACGTAAGTCCGGACTTACTGCCTTTTCTGAGAAAATCTTGAAAATTTTCTGAGATAAGGAAGTATTTCCGTGGACTTACTGCCTTTTCTGAGATAAATTATCTGTGATAGGAAGAAGTAGCTGGACTTACTTCCTATAAAACCATGCTAAAAACAGAATTTTAGAAAGCGATTTCCCAAAAAGAACATAACTTTACTGCCGATTGATATTTTCGCTTGAAATTTTCAGAATCGATGTATAATTAAATTTCAACCTTACGTAAGTGATCAAAATTTTCATTTAGGCCTCAAAAAAAATTTGGTGGCCGATTTTCAAAAACGCTGGATGTATTTTAGTCGCAAAACATAAACATACGAGCAGTCATTGAGCTGTTATAATCGCAGAGAATGTTTAGTTTAGGTATATCTTTTAGATCAAGTTTATCTTCATCAAAATATCGATAAGATATCATTTAATGCACTTAAATCTTTCAAAATTGGCGAGTTTGCCTAAATAAGGGCATACTATTATTCAAAAACATTTATCATATGATATGGAGCAATTTAGATTTACCTAATTGTTTATATTTTACAATATAATCCAAAATACATAGATCCCAACCTCAAAAATTTGGTAAAAAGCTTGGACTTACTTCCTTCTCAGAAAAATATTGAACAGAGATTTTTCTCAGAAAAGGAAGTAAGTCCAAGTTTTCTCAGAAAAGGCAGTAAGTCCATCCAGTATGAAAAATTAGCTCGATTATTTGGCATAAAAATGGTTATATCTAAGCTTATGGACGGCTCAAAGCTTTAATTTTTTTGACAACTTATAATTTGACTTATTATTGATAACTCAGCGTGTTTACTTTCGATCTTACGCAAAAAATAAGCGAAGAAAAAACCATAAACGCAAAAGTCGCAATATCTCGAAATGGCAAATATGGACTTACTGCCTTTTCTGAGAAAACGGCAGTGTTGTGGAGATTGAAATTTAATTCCAGAGCCATTAATTATAATCCGCTGCTTTGTGATTTTTCTTGCTTCCCACAAATTGCAGGTGTGATCATCCACTACTTTCTAAAATCGCAAACCATGACGCTGTTTGGCAACAAACCAAACCTATTACGTAGCAGAACGATACAAATCTTTTATCAACTAATTTAGTATCCCCTCCATTGTTCAAGATTAGTCACTAATTAAAGCCGAATCACCGCGTGGAACTCTCGCGGAACCGCATTTAATGCAGATGTCTATGTTACCTAAATTAGAACGTATACCACCGACCCGGCCAGTGCACCGGCCGGGTCGGTGGTATACGTTCTAATTTAGGTAACATAGACAGGTTAAGATACCATGGTATATTAACCTCTAAATCTTTAGTGCGTTAGTAAAACTAAACAGAGTCGCTGTGGCCAAGGAAATTGAAAATTGTAGTTTGTAATGGCGTAGTTAAGCCACACTGTGAGTATAAAGACTACAATAACTTGTTTCCTAACCCCGTGCTTCCTGCCATTTTCGTAGACTGTTTGAGAAGTTTCCACACATTTTACTGTCATATTTAGACGTTCGCAACGTCGCTGTATTGGGGTAATAGGCCAAGTTCGCTTCTAAACGGCAGTGTAAATCTATTCGGATGACCAGTAACGCAGTTCCAAAGCCTTATTTTCGCAGTTCAGTTAATATTCAGTTGTGCGAATGTTCGTTTTCGAACCATCTAGCTCAATGCTCAAACTTGGACTGACCTATATTTGCAGCATAGCAAACTATTTCGTCATGGTTGATGCAGCTGTGCAGTTTGCGCGGCTGTTTGGTCATAATTAAACCTGGTTATAAACTTTAATCATTGTTGGTTTCGCAATTACTTCCAGTCCAGAGTTCTACGTGGTTTGTTCTTAATAAGTTAATTTGGCTTCTTATTTATTAACGTTGGGAGTTAGAGCCAAAAGCAAATTGTTACGGAGACCATCACAACGTTTTAGCGACTATTCGGCTTTGACTTCGAAGAGCAAATTTTGTTTAATAAATAGTGAACTGAGGCCGCCAGATCTTTGACTTGATTTCCCTCTCCGACGCAAATCTACGGAGAATAGTCGAAATTATTTTAGCCATTAGCCAACTGAACGTCATACAACGTCATACAACGTCTATATAACGGCAACCGTTGTCTGGATACGCTCGTGGACCCTCCTTGTGGTCGACCTTGTCGTGCTGAAAGGAATCTTGATAATCATATCAAAATACCTTGTAAGTTGTAGTTGCTTAGTTGTAAGATACGTGGCCGATATCTCGATATGGTAATATTGGGATCTGATTGGTGGTTTATTAACAATGGCAACCCTGACAAAGACAAATCTACGAAGCTCGACCACCATCTTAATACTACAATACAACTTCAGAAATACACTCGCTATACATATGATACAGCACTAGCTTTATTCTGTAGGCCAGAGTATTGTATAGCTGGATAGTTAGCGTGCACTTCCGATAAATGAAACTGTCCAAGAGTTTGAGAGTTTGAGAGTTTGGGTTCTGTCTAGAGTTTGAGAGTTTGAGAGTTTGGGTTCTGTCTAGAGTTTGAGAGTTTGAGAGTTTGGGTTCTGCCTAGAGTTTGGGTTCTCATGCCTATAGTTTGGGTTCTGCCTAGAGTTTGGGAGTTTGGGTTCTGCCTAAAGTTTGGGTTCTGCCAAGAGTTTGGGAGTTTGGGTTCTGCCTAGAGTTTGAGAGTTTAGGTTCTGGTGAGATACGTATTTGTAGGGAGAATGCTGACTTTTACCCTTTTACTTACTAAGTTACTACAGAGATATTGACTTTGATTCATCCATTAAAGTACCTCATTAGTCGTTATGTTATTACCTTGTTACTCTGTTCATAAGATGCTTCAGATATCTCCTGTTTATCGTTTACCATTTTACTGCCTCGATATTACCAGTTAACCATTTTGGAACAATAACTTCGGGTTACATTTAAATATCTGAGTATCTACTCTGCGAGTATGATTAGTATGATTGTACAGTAGCTTATTGGTATCGTTTATTGGGTTCTTTGATCTTCAGACATTGATATTAGGTTCAGTCATTTTGACTTTATGATATACTCCAGTAGCAGAGAGGAGTTCAGTGTGCACTTCGATGTACAGAGTTTTTTGCTACTGGATATGGATGAATAAGTCATTGGTAACTCAAATCACCGAGGGCCGCATGTTGTGTCGCTAGTCCCAACCCTGTGGAGCCACGCCCATATTTCATATCAGGTGCGTATATGGGAAATATGTATCTCAGCTTCTGAAGGTCTTAGAGACTCAAACTTGAGTTTAAAGTGACCGCAAAGCACATGTTTATATTGGTACTATGAAGGTCACGAAAGCAATAGTAATAGTTCAGCATCAATGTTTGACTTTGTTCTTGTTATAATCTTTCTAAATTTGTTTACCGGCCTGATCATTTTTAATTTCAGTGTAAATTTGATAATAATAACAACGATTTGTGCAATAAATATTACCAAAACTAAACTCGCTTTTAAGAGCAGAATGGAAATGTTACACATAGTTCTAGCAATCCTGGTGACGATCCCCACTTTCCTCCTATTTATCGTATCTATCCTGTACTTCCACTATGGTATTGACGGCTGGGACGACATGATCCGCGAGTTTAACATCCTCAAGTTCAAATTCTCCTTCGGTTGGTCTCAAGTCAGAATCCAGCGTCGAAAAGTTAACTACATAAAGACTTGGAAACATTCGGTAGACAAGTTTGGAGATTTGGTGTTCTTGGAAAAGGGAAGATCGACTTATACTTATAACGAGGTAAATTGCAATTTTTATAGGATATCCTGATCAATGGCACTTCATATCAAATAGACATTAGACATTACACAAGCTTAAGTCATTTCGGATACAAAGCACAATTCCATTTTTGGCCAGGTAGCGCAGTTGGTTAGAGCGCCAGCTTTGCAATCGTGAGGTTGCGAGTTCGAATCCCGCTGTCTGCCTGGTCGTGGGGTGAGCGTCGTTGACGTTCAGCTAAGGATCCTAAGTGGTCTATGCAGCCCCCCGGTCTACTCAGCCGAATACTCGAGAATCGGGTGTGAGGGTTAAATGAGGAGCTGCCCATTGCAGCAAAGTCTCTGGAGAAGAAAGTATGGTACACACTACCTTAACCGTCACTGGCCGAGTGAATCCTTCAGCTTCCTGTAATTGGCTGGTTACACTTGTGTAACAATGTGGCTGTTGGAATACTCCGAAGTAAAATAAGTGTGAGATTTTTAAAAACCTAGTTAAGATTAAATTCTAACAACATAATTCCAAGATCCCATGACATATCTAATAAGAATCATCAGAAGTCATGATCTTAATTAATTTATCAGCGCAACTTCAATCATCACTGTGATAACAACTCGAAAAAGTTCCACAAATGTAAGTAGATATTTCCAACAACAACTTTACCCAGATAGACGATCTGAGTAATGGTGTTGGCAAGTTCCTTTACGAGAAGGGTGTAGCGGATGGTAGTGTGGTGGGGATCATGATGACGAACAGTGTGGAATTTATAGTGTCCTGGCTGGCTATCATTAAACTTGGAGGTCGGCCAGCCCTCTTTAATACCAATCTCAGGTAAATCTAGCATGGCCCTCTTTAATACCAATCTCAGGTAAATCTAGCAGCCCTCTTTAATACCAATCTCAGGTAAATCTAGCAGCCCTCTTTAATACCAATCTCAGGTAAATCTAGCAGCCCTCTTTAATACCAATCTCAGGTAAATCTAGCAGCCCTCTTTAATACCAATCTCAGGTAAATCTAGCAGCCCTCTTTAATACCAATCTCTGGTAAATCTAGCAGCCCTCTTTAATACCAATCTCTGGTAAATCTAGCAGCCCTCTTTAATACCAATCTCAGGTAAATCTAGCAGCCCTCTTTAATACCAATCTCAGGTAAATCTAGCAGCCCTCTTTAATACCAATCTCAGGTAAATCTAGCAGCCCTCTTTAATACCAATCTCTGGTAAATCTAGCAGCCCTCTTTAATACCAATCTCTGGTAAATCTAGCAGCCCTCTTTAATACCAATCTCAGGTAAATCTAGCAGCCCTCTTTAATACCAATCTCTGGTAAATCTAGCAGCCCTCTTTAATACCAATCTCAGGTAAATCTAGCAGCCCTCTTTAATACCAATCTCTGGTAAATCTAGCAGCCCTCTTTAATACCAATCTCTGGTAAATCTAGCAGCCCTCTTTAATACCAATCTCAGGTAAATCTAGCAGCCCTCTTTAATACCAATCTCAGGTAAATCTAGCAGCCCTCTTTAATACCAATCTCTGGTAAATCTAGCAGCCCTCTTTAATACCAATCTCTGGTAAATCTAGCAGCCCTCTTTAATACCAATCTCAGGTAAATCTAGCAGCCCTCTTTAATACCAATCTCAGGTAAATCAAGCAGCTTGGAGGTCGAGTATAGCGGCCGAGATGGCTCACCAAAATTTTCACTGAAAATTTTGAATTAAAAAATTAATTATACAATTAATCGCAAAACAAAAACGATTTTGAATTTGATTTGTAAAATGATTTTAAAATTTAAATAAAAAACGATTTTCATATTGAAATTGAAAACGATTCTCATTTTTAAAACGATTTTGAGTTTGATTTTGAAAACGATATTGATTTTGATTTTGATTTTGAAAACGATATTGGTTTTGATTTTAAAAACAATATTGATTTTGATTTTAAAAACGATATTGATTTTGATTTTGAAAACGATATTGATTTTGATTTCGAAAACGATATTGATTTTGATTTTGAAAACCATTTTGATTTTGAAAATGTTTTTTTTTTTTTCCCCCGGTGGCGGCCGAAATGGCTCAGCTAGCTAATTAGCCGTATGGGATTTATGTTCCGGGGTATTTGGAACAGGTTTAGGGGTTTAAATAGTTAGTACCCGTCCCAAACCATCAGAAAAATCAAGTTTCGACCTCCCAACCCACTCAGGCCACTCCCAGAGGCCACGTTCATCCCAAAATAGCTGAAATCCAGGTCGAATCAAGATAGTTAGATGGGCGTGGATCCCATACGGCTAATTAGCTAGCTGAGCCATCTCGGCCGCCACCGGGAAAAAAAAATTTCAAAATCAAAATGGTTTTCAAAATCAAAATGGTTTTCAAAATCAAAATCAATATCGTTTTCAAAATCAAAATCAATATCGTTTTCAAAATCAAAATCAATATCGTTTTTAAAATCAAAATCAATATCGTTTTTAAAATCAAAACCAATATCGTTTTCAAAATCAAAATCAAAATCAATATCGTTTTCAAAATCAAACTCAAAATCGTTTTAAAAATGAGAATCGTTTTCAATTTCAATATGAAAATCTTATATTTGATCCTTCGAACAGCTGTTGAGCAATGAAACGCAAACATAATCTTAGCAATATGAAAATCGTTTTTTATTTAAATTTTAAAATCATTTTACAAATCAAATTCAAAATCGTTTTTGTTTTGCGATTAATTGTATAATTAATTTTTTAATTCAAAATTTTCAGTGAAAATTTTGGTGAGCCATCTCGGCCGCCATAGTCGAGGTAAATACTTACTTTTCCTTATAAAAAACTTAATCATGAATAGAATTTATAAAATTATAGTCGCACATTGTCAAAAATACGTGTAACAAGAAAAGGCAAAAATTGACCCAACAGTTGTTTGTCCCAGAGGAACATCAATGGTGCACTGTCTCCGGTCTTTAACTGACTGCAACTACCTGCTGCTAAACGTGGAAGCAAAAGCTCAGCTCGACAGAGAAACACCTATAGATTTCAAGCTGTTGCGAATAACTGTTTTCCTGGCGGACTTATGGTCGAAGGACATTGGAAACACCATTATTGGAGAAAGAGTTATGAGCATGATGAAGATGATTTCTGATGAGGAAGCACCGGGCAAATGGGCTGGAGATAATAAAGGTAAGTTTTTGAGAAAACTTTGAGGATTTTGTCATTTTGATAGAGCTTCAATAATTTGATAGATCTTTCTCTCAGTTTGACATTTACTCGATTCTTAAATTCAATCTATGACGAATACCCCATTTTCAGCGCATGACGCAATAGTTGGATACTTGTTTACGAGTGGTACCACGGGTTTCCCAAAAGCTGTTCCGATGGCATTCAACAGACTTTGGTCTGTACTTCAAGTGGCTCTGATAAACAGGTGGTTATTATTCATTCTCCTCGTGTTTTACATTTTCAAATGATTGTTTGAAAAGCATCCGAAGTATCTGAAGTATTTAAAATACTGAGTATTCTGATTATTCTGAGTATTCTGATTATTCTGAGTATTTTGATGAATTTTGCTCTGAAGTCTGAAGCTGATAAATTATGAGACATTGCTGATGCTCCAGACCTTCTGGTTCCTTATAATCAGAGCCTCATGGACGTCAGACTAAAGTTACTAACTGAACATACTAGTATGTAATTTCCGAGATCAACTTCTGATTGGTGCACTTACTATAACTCAATTTCAGGTACAACATTACACAGGATGATAAAATGTTTTCCTCCCTACCTCTTTATCACTCAACAGCTCTCTGTATTGGTCTCCATATTACAATTTTGGTAAGTTTCAAATCGTTAAATAATGAATAAAACCCAGGTTGTAGATACTATGCTCGCACAACAGGCCAGGGTATGCGTGCAGTTTACACGTACATGCCTCATATTATCGTACCAACGTGGATCAGAATTTAGAGTGGCTTATTAACTGACTCCGCGATTTAGCAGTACGACTATTGGCCGCTTTTACTAAGTTTTGGTTCTTAGTAAGGCTCTCCGTTATCTTTCAGAAAAATCGTTTAGTAATTTAGCGATCGCTAACTTTTCTGCAGTAACCGTAAGAATCATTTTCAGAGTGGAGGCCGCTACATCATCAAGGAAAAGTTTTCAGTTCAAACATTTTGGAGTGACTTAAGGGCGCACGAAGCCACAATCTTTCTCTACGTCGGGGAAATGTGCCGATTTTTACTCAACCGAAAAACATCATTTCAACCAAAAGTGGAATACCAAACTAGGCTAGCCTTAGGAAATGGCTTAGGAAAAGACATTTATACTCCCTTCAAGGAAACGTTCAAGATACCTCAAATAGCTGAGTTTTATGGACAGACGGAATGTTTAGCTTTTCTTGGATCAGTGCTGAACAAACCAGGGTCACTGGGGTACATTCCTAAAATAAAGCTCGGTCCCCAGCCATACAGGTAACGAACGATCTCCAACAAACGGGATCGGCCAAAATAAGTCCTTTTAAATGAAGTTATTAAATTTAAACTAATTGATACTTTAATAAGTTTAATATTATAAATTGCATCGAATTACGACCAATGTTCAGATGCTGCACAATTACCTTCATCACACAGACATGGTTTAATGTGATCTTTGAGTCGTTTGCTGGAATTGTATACCAGTTTGCAGATCCACATGGCGCGATGGGCGGCTATTTTACATTATTAGCTGTTATCGTTATAACGGTTAGGTCAATAAATATCAGGTCAATTTATTATTATCATCGCCTCCGTAGCTCAGTGGTTAGAGCACTGGTCTTGTAAACCAGGGGTCATGAGTTCAATTCTCATCGGAGGCTGATTCAGTGACCTAGTCACCTTTTGGAGTGATTCGAAGAGAATCTTGTGAAGAGCAGTTTGTTAATGTTGCTTGGATTTGCCATCATCGCCTCCGTAGCTCAGTGGTTAGAGCACTGGTCTTGTAAACCAGGGGTCATGAGTTCAATTCTCATCGGAGGCTGATCATCAAGACGTGATCTAGTCACCTTTTGGAGTGATTTAATACCATATTGACTTACTTGACTTAAGGTGGCTTCAGCGTCCGAGTATTGATGCGCTGTCTCCATAGAACTCTATCCGCCATAAGTCCGCCCATTTCTCCAGTGTCGTTGAGACCCGTATCAGCTCGTAGGCTATCAACATAAGTCATCATGGCTGGTCTTCCCCTACTCCGCACCCCATGAGTTGGTTCCCAGAGTAGCAAGCGGTTTGCGACTAGTTCTGGGTGCCGGTGGATATGGCCTGCTAGTCGCATCCTGCGCTCTTGGATCTTCATGGTTGCTCTCGGTAGGTTGCCATAAACTTCTTTGTTGGTTTTGCGCTGCTTCCAATCCACATTTAGTGCCATCCTTAGCATTTTAGTGTAGCAGCCATCAATGCGTTTCTTCAATCGTTGCTCTGTCAACGTCCACGTCTCAGAACCATAAAGAAGTATTGACTCCACAGTAGCAACAAATAGACGGATCTTTAGTCCTCTTCTAAGGTCAGACTTCCACATCTTCTTTAGCTTGTGGCAGGCTGCCCAAGACTTAGCTTTTCTGACCCGCAGGTCCCTCTCTGTTGTTGCTATCCATGCTCCAAGGTAAACAAAGCCTGTCACATTTTCCAGCTGGTTTCCAGAACAGCTATTAAGACTACTCGCCTCCTCTGTCATGTTCAGAGTCATGAACTTAGTTTTAGTGTCGTTCGTGGCTAGCCCAACACCCAGTGCTGCTTTCTGAAGCCTGTCCAGGAGTAGTTTTGCCCCTTCAATGGTATCAGTGATAAGGGAAACATCATCTGCAAACTCGACGTCTGCGATCTTCTCGGCACCAATCCTTCTACTCCGTGCAGGCCTGAGAGTGAACCCAGAGTATATAATTTTTTAATTCGCAGGGTGATACAATGTGATACAGAGACATTGCAACCAAAGCGAGACTACCCTACAGGCCTCTGTAAGCTCTGCAACATGAATCAAGCTGGACTTCTCATTGTTAAATCTGAAAACTTCGGTAACAGTAAGTAAAATCAAAATCTCCATCCGCTGAAAATACCAAAGCCAATAATGAATCCAAGTCATATTGTGTGTCCTTTTCAATGATCTGTTATAACTATTTTTTACTTTTATTCAGGAACAATATACCACAAGAGTAATCAAGATGTGAGATTTCTGTCTGACGTGGAAAAGAAAGGAGATGAGTTTATCAATACTGGAGATCTAGTGATGATTGGAACGGACAGATCTTATTACTTCGTCGACAGGCTAGGAGACACTTTCAGGTTTGTGGGTCAATCTAGTTCTACAATCCAGTGTTGCTTATTGATTATTGTTATTGGGTGCACGATTTTTTTTCAAACTAATCTACAAACGTATAAATTTGCTTTTATATTTTGTTTATAGCATACTTCTATAACATTCACCATTTAACACGTGGTTACCCAATCAGATGGAAAGGAGAGAATGTGGCGACCCAAGAAGTGGCGTCCTGTATCAACAAACTCGCCTCCGTTCACGAAGCTTGCGTTTACGGAGTCACTATACCCGGTAAGTTATTACGGAGAGTTATCAGTTTAACAGTAATGTTATTAATTTAAGCAGTTAGCTAACATGCCCGGTATTGAGAAATGAAATAAAGTTTTTGGTTTGCTCAGATTTCAATATTGAGAGAAATCATAGGATGGAAAATCAAAGTCAATTTAATGTTTCACTTTAAAAACTTGTGTCCTGTCATGTCGTGAATCCTTCTGCTTCTTCTTTATATCTCGTGAGTATGACGTTATGCTCATCCTAACTAAATTAATGTTCACGAATTTTGGAATATTAGATTTATCTGTGAAAGGAATTACTATTAGCCTAGGATTATGATCCCTCAAATTAAATTTTAAGTCAAAGACTTGACAGCTAAAATAAATATACTATCAAGGTCACTCAAAGTCTGAGAAACCATGCATTTGCTTTTCGCAATAAAACTGTATTTGAGGCTCAATATCCGATACCCCCAGGACATAATGGTAGAGCAGGTATGGCAGCGATAGTTGTAGATTCAGAGGACACCTTCTCCCTTGAAGCACTGTACGAAACTCTTTCTAGCAACTTGCCGAGTTACGCTGTCCCTATCTTCGTCAGGTAATTCCTCAGTATTCCGTTCTTTATCTTAGAATATTCTTAACCTCATTATGCTTACGATATCCATGACCAAATGTACTACGGATTTCGTCATTTTAAAGATTTAAATCCCCTGTAATAATGACTGCCACTAAAATGCTAACCATATCTTTCTATTCCCTATCAGGATGGTTCACTCACTGGAGACGACCGCGACCTTCAAGTATAAAACAAATCAACTGAAGCAGGACAACTACGACATGAGCGTGATATCAGGAAACCTTTATCTTGTTAACCATAGCCAGAGGACGTACGAAATAATGACTCTTGAAACCAATGATCTGATTAAGAAAGGAGAAATAAAACTGAATTGAAGTTTAGAACTCTAGGTGCACGAACACATGTGCTCTTAAGCATGGAGTGGAATATGAAGCATTAATAAGACAGTTTGATACAAATTAACCATATCATCTGCATGTCCAGATAGTTATACATAATATGAAACTTTGAAATTTCAAATTATTTCCACAATAAATTTGTTGGTATTTTTCATGGTAACGTATTTTGTAAACTTCTGCGAGTTAATTGTGTTGATTTTAATTATTCCAATATGACTGGTGAAACAGTTGCATAGATTTTAAATACTTTTAAAATCTTCATTTGTCTAAAACACAGATTAGGATGCAACGCAGAAACTATCGGACTACGATGAATGGGGACTTGCGACCCCATGGTAACATTGAAATATATTGACTCTGTTACATCGTTTCCTCAGTAAATGTAATACTAATATATTTGTAGTGTTGTATTTGTAATTAGTTTACAAATATATTGGGAGAGTTTGATCTCCAAAACCCTAATTCTTCTTTCATAGACCAAATTACGTTCAATCCTGTTTAATCCCATTTAGTTTGAGCAGATAGTTGGACAACAACATTTCAATGACGTGTACAGCAATTTGTCAAAAGTAGACTGCTGTCTACGGTAGCACTTTCAGAATTGAGAGCATCTCTTAAAATACAAAACAAATAGCATATCATCAGTCAATACATGCCAGCGCTGTCCACAGGAACACGTCCCACAAAATATATTCTAATATTGGTAAACGTTATATTACTCCTCAAAGGCTAACAAACATAGCATTTACATAACACTTACATGCCAATTCATGGCACGGACAGATCAATGATAACAGTGCTGGGGCGCAGCACTCACTAGGCACCGACAGGTTTCACACCGCCAGGATTAGTTCATTAGGATGTCTTTGTGTTGTTCCCTTTACTTCCTACTCAGATTGTAGACATCTTTTGAACTGTGTTTTAACCTTTTGCCCCGCCGATGAACAGATAGAATGTGAACACAAGTTGGTGACCGCCTGGTGACCGCGTGGTGACCACGTGGACAAGGATGTTATTATTTGTGACAGCTGTTTTGCTTTGTAAAATGTTGACCAGTCATTTAATTTGATGGCATTATTAATTATTCGGCGTACCAACTTCAATTTAAACCAAATTCGATTTCAGTATTATTAATCAATGATCCATTGTTGCGGTTTAATGGGTTATTTAACTTAATAGCATTTTTAGATGCCACTTTCTGCTTGACATGATTATGGCGAATATGAGCATAAGTTATTCAATGTATATTATACAAGCTATGCGGCATGCAGCATTTTTTGGAATTGGTGAACCTTACCAATGAACCGATCAGGAGTTTTTGAGTATACATTTAAGCGTGGCAGACACGACGTCTTTCTCTTTGACATTTGACAGCCGCTTTGCTTTGGAAAATGATGGGGGAAATTGGTAGATCACCGACCGGCTATAAGCCGGTTATAAGCCGGCTATAAACCGGCTTATAGCCGGCTACAATTTTTATAGCCGGCTATAAGCCGGCTTATAGCCGGTTAGTAGCCGCTTACATTTGTTGTTGAGCGACGGCTATTAGCCGGTTATAAGCCGGCTATTAGCCGTTTTTGGTATCGGCTATAAGAAATTCAGTGAAAACGGCTATTAGCCGGTTATAAGCCGGCTATTAGCCGTTTAGGTATCGAAAGTGGTTATAAGCCGGCTATAAGCCGGTTATAAGATATTAACTCAACTTCATCGTACTGAACGATAGTCAGGAGCCGGCTATAAGATATTAACTTAACTTCATCGTACTGAACTGAGTTAATATCTTATAACCGGCTTATAACCACTTTCGATACCTAAACGGCTAATAGCCGGCTTATAACCGGCTAATAGCCGTTTTCACTGAATTTCTTATAGCCGGCTCCTGACTATCGTTCAGTACGATGTAGTTGAGTTAATATCTTATAACCGGCTTATAGCCGGCTTATAGCCGGCTTATAACCACTTTTAATACCAAAACGGCTAATAGCAGGCTTATAACCGGCTAATAGCCGTCGCTCAACAACAAATGTAAGCGGCTACTAACCGGCTATAAGCCGGCTTATAGCCGGCTATAAAAATTGTAGCCGGCTATAAGCCGACTTGTAGCCGGTTAGTAGCCGGCTTATAGCCGGTCGGTGATCTACCAACTGGCCAATGATGGAGAGTCATGTTATTGATTGATGGTATGTTCGATCATACACGTTGCGAAATAGTTTTCAAAGCGACATTTAATATGTCACTATCACTGACCAGTTTTATAGTTTTCTAGAGAATGTAAATTAATATAATGTTTAGGCTTCACCTATCTCGTCAAGATTTTATCACCATTGAGTACCCTTTATATGGTGGGTTTGTGGTTCTTCCGGCTCCTCCTTGATAGACAAGAGACTACTAGTGGGGTTAGTTTAGTGGTCTGTGCTTGTAAAATAAACCGCGTCTTAAGGCCGTTACCATATTTTAGTCAGTTGATATTTTAAATGTAACTTGTGGGCACCATCTTTATGCTTTCATCATCAATGTAATCATCGAAAATGAAAGCTCTATAGGCTCCAAAGTGGTCACCATGATTGTATGTATAATTTGATTTCGTTCCGGATCTCTTTATCTATAGTTAAAAATATCTCTGTGTAGATATTTTATTACAACATGCAATTCTGACCTCATATCAACCGAGTGACAGGGGTGATTTTTTTTCAGTTGAAATCCTTATTTTTGCTGAAAACGATACTTGATTTTTGTTCTTCACATTTCAGTGATTCCTACGTTGTGTTGAATCGTGCATCGACCAACTTTTCTCTAATCTGATATTTATTCTAAGTTTGTGCCGATTCTAGTTTTTAATTAGAATAACAATAACTTCGAACTATTCCAAACTTGGCCAAGTTTCACGAATTTAAGATAATTGTGCTAAATTTAGGCCTCTTAGTGGATGAGTCATTTCTCAATTTTAAGCTGCCAGTCAGTGGTTGGTACTCAATTCTTTAATTAAATGCTGGGTTGACAATTGACCTATTATATGCAGCTTAGAGTAAGTCGCGTTATAACCACTTAGGTTGAAGTCTCTAGCTTCCCGTTTCAACCGGCAAATACAAATTATTAGATGAGGGAAACGAGGGAAAGTGTGCAGTTTGAAATGAATGAAGACAAAGTATTGTTGGGCTTTAAGAATTATTATTTCGATAAGATTTTGATATTCTTGATGAGCATGAAAATCATATTCGTCTTTTAACAAAAGACTAACTGTTACTATATTATGTAGTTACTAACTGTTACTATAGTTACTAACTGTTACTATAGTTACTAACTGTTACTTATAGTAGTCTTCTAGAAAATTGTAGTATTTGATTTTACTTCTAGATCCATAAATTCGTGCGGCTTTATTATCGTAGTATTTAGTATTGCGAATTTATATATTCATTTTAAGTAGCTGAGTAGGATTTTAAGTATATAATTATTGTGTAATAGGTTTATCTGACTCCTTGCGATCAGTCCAAATCAAGGAGAACCTTTTATAACATTCCTGAAATTCACTCTTGCAACCTATAATAACTTAATAACCTACTATCAGGCCAATTAAACCAACGTTATAATACACTTTAATTGTTTAATACTTTAATACTGTTACAGTAGTCAATACTGAGTAACTCAACGTAATTCCAAAGGAGACACACAGTCACCAGGCTAATCTCAATCATGATGGTAATCCAGTTAGAAAATCAATAATATGACTTCATTCGAACAAAGTCTATTCCTTATTTGCCTCTCGTGGATGTTCAAGATAGGATATGGTGATGCGAGTAAGTTTGATTTTTGTATACAAAAACTTGTCATCAATGCTTATATTTCATACCAGTTTGTATATCGAAAATACATGAAATGTACTAAACATTTATAGTAATAAATTAAATCCTCCAGCAATTTACGGAGTCAGTAGAACAAGTGTGGCTGGAAATCCAGGCAGAGTAGATTGTCAACTGAAAAGTATTACAACCGAACCAAATCAATACATTTGGAAACTTGGAGACCAGATCTTACAAACTGGTTCTGACTACACTATTGAAGTGAAGCCCTTGTTCTTCGGTACTCAAGACATTGTTTTGTACATAGATAGTTCTCCTGCTGTAGATACGAGCTACACTTGTATAGCTGACTGGGGAGGAGATAATACCGTATCTACAACTGCTCTACTTGATATAATCAGTAAGTTTACTCGCAAGGGGGCAAAAATATTCTCAAATCATTTACGTCATTTACGAGACAATTATAAAACCTGGCATGTGATTTTTTATTTTGTTTATGTATGCAGGTGTCACTCCGATTAACGTAGTCGTGGAGCAAGGTCAGACAGCAACCAACGTTGTTCTATCCTGTGTGGTATCTGGATGGGCAACAGACCTCAATAAGTGTAATCAGGTATCTTGGGTGGACATAGGACAAGATTATTCTCCTGCTCCAATCTATACTGGAAACTATCAGGCTGAACTCACCATCCCTTCTTCTACAGTGGATATAACTTATACTTGTAGATGTGATCGATCTGTGGTGGATAACATCGACGTCCCTGTTTATCTGGACTTTATAGGTAATAAAATCAATGCAGAATTTTGGCAAACCAGATCGAATAAAAAATTGTTTGATTACCTTTTCGGCGTTAAATATTGACATAATTTCTGGGTAAATTTAGGGATGACGTTAGAGGACAGATACGTTGTGATGAGTGCAGACATTGAAGTAACCTGTAGTATATCCCAACTCTTGAACACTGTATCTGTTCAATGGAGGGATTCAGATGGACAAGTCATCAGTGACGATGATTATTATTCGACAAATCAAGGAAGTAAAGATGAAAGTGGTAACCAGTATTCTATTCTTACAATATCAGCTTCAAAGCTGCAAGCCCTTGGTTCAACTTCTGTCACGTATTCCTGTCAAGTTCTATCTGGAGACCAGACAGTTGCAATCACAAAAACCATGACTTTAACCCTCTATGACTTTGGTTAGCAACTCTAGTTTGAAAGACAATTTCTTTCAAGATCAGGATTCAATTCATAATGTTGGAAGTCATGCAAATCCCTAATGATCTTAAATGTAGAGGGCTACTAAATAAACGCCGAACAATTTGTAAATTATATTTCAATCCACAAGAGTATACAATTCATCATTTAAAAATGATAAATTTTCTCATAAACAGTAGGAGTAAGTCGAACAAGTCAAGCTGGAAATCCAGGCAGAGTAGATTGTCAACTGAAAAGTATATCAACTGAACCCAATCAATACATTTGGAAACTGGGAGACCAGGTCTTACATACTGGTTCTGACTATACTATTGAAGTGAAGCCCTTGTTCTTTGGCACTCAAGACGTAGTTCTGTACATAGATAGTTCTCCTGCTGTAGATACGAGCTACACTTGTATAGCTGACTGGGGAGGAGACAACACCGTATCTACAACTGCTCTACTTGAT